CACATAACACCAGGGCTCTGTTGTTCATCTTGTCGTTATTTTAACGATTGATTAAATTTAACGAGTCGTTACATAACGAGTCGTTTATTTTCTGTTGTTCAACAATATTTAACGCGTTGATTAAATAATCAATGAATTAAAATTTAATCAACTGATTAATCAATGCGTTAAAATTTAATCAACTGATTAATCAAGTGATTAAATAAAACCTACCCATCATTCATTGTTTATGAGCTTCCTGTCTGTAAAAAAATGGCTGAACCAGTTGAACAAACCCCAAGCAAACTGAAAAGGCTAAAGAAGACCAATTTTACTGTGGCAGAAGAAGACTTGTTACAACAGCTTGTGGAAAAAAACTCCAACATCATAAATGGAAAATTAACAAACACAGTAACAAATAAGTTAAAAAAAGACATTTGGGATGAGATTACCATCAAGATAAATTCTCTTGGAGTTGCTATTCGTACTTCAACAGAAGTACGAAACAAATGGAGGAACACCACAAGAGTGGCCAAGGCCGTTTATTCAAAACACAGGAATGAGATATTCAAAACTGGGGGAGGACCAGCTCCAAAGCAACCCAGCACAGCAGTGGAGAGGGTTATCCACCTGATGAAGGACACCACCAGCTTCAGAGGGATTCAGGGTGGACTTGAAACAGAGTCATTCCAGACAAGTATGTAAATAATATTTAGCACATAAGAATATATCCCCAAATGTTTTTTTCCCTTAATTAGAACTTCTCAAGGCTCTACCCTTTTTATTGCACCTTGTGAAAAGTGAACTTTAACAGTTTCAATCAACTAAATGTTTTTAATTTTCATAAACAAACAATTTTTGGCAAATTTTTGTTTTGAAGGTGTTTTTTATTGTTATTGTTAATTTTTAATGAAATTCGATGAAAATAACACACATATTCGTAGCCTTTTTAATCCCGGGATACATAGTTTCCCTTATTCAATTTGAGTAAAAGTTTCGTCTGCTCCGCCGTCACAACAAGTAGGGGAATTCCCAACTGATATCACGTGACTGAAAACAATTTATTTTGACCAATTTCTATTACTTAAATGATTGCCAACGTGTTTTTTGTTGGTTTGAAGGTTCTGCTCTTGTTTTACTATTGCAAGATTGCATTTGTTTAAACTGATAACGGTTTTAAAGTGTTATTTTCAACATTTGTTCACAAGTGGCAGGTGCCCGCCAAGTCGTCTTCAAACTGGTATCTGTTGTTAGATTAAAAGGAACCACAGTAGATAATTTGGAGCGAAAACCAGTCATGATTTATAATACTAAAACACATACGGATTGGTTATCATAAATCCGGAATAAAGTTTATCTATTTGTTGTTGCAGTCTGAACATAGACAGGAACACATAGTTTATAGCTGAGACCCATAATAATATTTAAAGGGTTGAAATAGGGTCTTATTTAGTCTTGTGCAATTTTTTTTTTTACTTGCAATTTAAAGTACATTGTATCTGAATTTAATGTATGATGATGTTTCCATTGTCCCGGCCCCCTATAAACAGATAGATAAAATACCCAAACACAGTATCAACAAGTCAATTTTCTCTCATTTATTACAGATCCTCCAACTATCACTGCCACATTACCAGAAGAAGATGCCAGCCAGGATCTCTATGAGTCGGCAGCATCACTTATCAGTGACAGTCCACCCCCTCTCAGTCCACAGAGTCCATCTCTGCTGACTGGATATGACCCTATCCTAACACAAACAGTTGTTCCAGTACAAACAAGTATTACAGAAAAGCGGAAGTAAGTTTAAAATAAATATAAAAAAGAAGATATGTTATGATTGCCAATGTGACAACTCTCCACAAGAGACCAAAATGACACAGAAATTAAAAGTAAGGCCTTCAACAAGGATTTGTATAGTAAGATATGCTACTATACAAATCCTTGCCTGCAACAAGAACTCTTTAAAAATGTGTTGTGTAAACAGGTTCCGCTAGTTTATTTGGTCAACACTTTTTTCTTGATACAATGTATAAAATTAAATTTGTCAATGCATGTTTACATTTCCAACAATGAACCTCAAAGTGAGATTTTGCTATCGGTTCTTCATGACAATGCAGTCATTAATATCACTAAACGTGACAATCATTCAAACCTAAACCTAAAAAGTATTGACAAATTCTGCTAAGGATAGAACTATATGGTATAGTGATTTATAGTGATATATTTCCTTATAATAACTTTAAATGTATGCAAGTTTTAGTCATTTCAGCACCTAAGTAAGCATCGGGGATGGTGGTGGTGGTGGGGGGGGGGGGGATCAATACTTGATTGATAGGGGTGCCGCTGGGGTTCTAGTGTGATCCCACCCTATTAATATAATTAAGATATTAAAAATGTATAGTCCTTTTCCTATATTGCGTAGTTAATAATGTAACCTTTTCTCATATTTGTTTTGTTTCGTGTGGTTATTTCAGAGGCAGATTTAGTGGGTGGGCCCAGGGGGCTTGTCCCCCCACCCTTCCCCCTTTTGTGGGAAAAATTTGGTTGATTATATAGAGAATCACTGAAGCATGACTGGATTGGGCCCCCTCTTGTGCAAATTTCTGGATCCGCCAATGAAATAAGGGCTAAGATTCTGTATGTAATGTTAATTCAACTTACGGCGAGACTTTTAAGGATGTGAAAAATGACAGTCTCAGACAGGGCTTTTTAGTATACAAGTAATTGGAACTTTTTTTACCTTTTCATATATTTCTGATAGTTTTCCCAACCTATTCACATATTTCAAGCCGGAAAACATGACATATTCCAACGGCACGTCGTACAATCACTTTGTATATAGAAAGTGCCCCCCCCCCCCCCCCATAAAAATCAAATGGTAGCTCCCTAAATGATGCATGAATCAAAAACTTATAAACAAATGACAAGTATTTCAACCAAAATCTCAATGATCTAAGGATGTAATAATGCAACTGCATGAACAGGAAGCTAGCTCTGATGTTTCGTTTTTGACTTCTTGCAAGGAATGAAATGTCTTTAGATCCTCGCTGCAATTTTTCTACATGTACCTTCCCAAAATCAGGAGCCTGTAATTTTAATGGTTGTCTGTTGTTAATGTATTTCATATTTGTTTTTTTTTTTTGGTTTATTTATTATATAATTCTGGTGATTGGTTTAACTTATCTGAATTGTTTTACAATTGTTGCACTGGAACCTATAATTGCTAATATTGAGGACATTTGGTCTTGGGTAAATTGTTGTTTCAGGATACCCCATCGTCTAATTGGCAATCAGGATGATGGAAGTTTTAAATGAACTTGACTGGCTATATATAGCCCTTGCACTGTTGGACCTGGCTTGCGCCTTTTTGGGCATTCAAATAATTTATTTTTTACCATATGGTAATTGATATAATCAATTGGCAATCATACCACATATTCTTATTTTTATACTGAAGTACAGTTGCATGGCTACTGGGTTTTTGATTTCATAGGCGACTAACTGCTCACCATTTACTATACTAATTTTTAAGCCGAAATTGCACACTTCCTCTGTCGACAGATCGTCAAAGTGATCATATAAAGAGTTGTTGCTATTTTCAAATTTCCTCATTTTTTTAATGAATGACAATGTATCAAAATATGAAAAAATAAAAACATGCAATTTATTAGGCAAAGAAGTGGTAGCAAAATGGTCCCGTATGCCTTTTCCGTCCTGTGGACCATTATAGGGTGGCATCTGAGGTTGATTGTCAATTAATTGTTCTTCTGCAACGTCAGGTTCATTCCTTATGATGGCAATATTGTGCAGAACACCACAAGCAATGATGATACGGCAAGCTTTATCTGGTTTCATTCGGATCTGGAATACAATTTAAAAACATTTATTTCTAATTTTAAAGTGTGACAGAAATACTATTTGTAAGTAGTATCATAGGCGGATCCAGGGGGGCCCTTTTGTGGGAAAAATTTGGTTGATTATATAGGGAATCACTGAACCAGGACTGGAGCGGGCCCCCCCTTAGGTCAGTCAGCGCCCCCCCCCCCCCCCCCCTTTATGAAAAGTTCTGGATCCGCCACTGAGCATGATGCAACGTTGTTCATGAATAAGGCTGAGATTAAATAAATCTATTACGAAAAAAAATACTTTCAGTAACAGAAACACAATGTGACATGTGCATATTTGAAAACACTATTAATGAAAAAAGGACAAAATCAGGTATGAAGCCGAGCAAAAAGTCCAACTGATGATGTACTGTTTCATTCATGATTTATTATAGTTACAGTAATGACTAACTTGGAGCATCTACCCCAACAGGACTACCTGAATTTACCGAACCAGCATTACCAATTTTCCAACTGGATCTCTGTTCTCCGTATAATTTTAGGGTTTTTATCTGTGTGATGAATTGTGTTTTTGTCAGGGCTTGACATTTTACGTGTTTCTGAGGTCAGCTTTATCGGCCCTTTAATATACAACTGATTTTTCAGTTTTCTCGGGGTTTTTTTACATATAAAAATAAGGAGATTTGGTATGATTGTCAATTTTATAACTATAATGTATATATCCTACAAAGTTAAAATGAATTAAGTGGATGTAAGCAATTATAGGCAACCGTACGGCCGTCAGCAATAAAAAAAAATACCGTATAGTAGACTATAAAAGGCCCTGACATAGAAGGGGACAATTATGAATACCTAAACCAAAATTTAGAGAAATAGAAAAAATGTACTAAGGGAGCTACCATTTGATTTTTATGGGGGGGGGGGGGGGGGCTAGGATAAAATTTGAAAAAAATAGGCAGGACAGGAGTTTTGAGTAAAAAAAAAGGCAGGATGAGCAACTTGGTAAAAAAAAATTCAGGATGACAATTTGTGTAAAAAAAATTCAGGATAAACTAGTAAAAAAAAAAGGGCAGGACCGAATAGAGTAAAAAATAAAAAGGCAGGACAGAGATTATAATTAAAAAAAAAAGCAGGACAAAATTTTTCATCCTAGCTGCAGGGATAGCCACTGTCTCCTTACAATACACCTTGTCCAATTCCTTGATATCCATTCTCAAGATGTTGTCCTATGGCTGAGGTTCTGAAAACATGAGAATCATGTGCTGATCCTGGCCACCTAGCACTGATGTTGGTGAATCTACCTTTAAACAAAATTATGATAATTAAAAAAGGGGAAAAAGTAGGTTCCGTGATAATTCATTTGTCAATGCAAAGCAAGGCAGTGATTGTGAATAAAGTATGGTGACCCATAGCTGTTTATTTCTGTGTCATTTAATCTCTTGTGGAGAGTTGTCTCATTAGCAATAATACCACATCTTCTTTTTTATGCATGCATAGTTTGTCCATTATAGTTCCAGTCATTAAAATATTGGCCGAATTTGCAATGTGGTGAAAACAAAATATGTATAGTAACAATTCAGATAAACAATACATTGCATAGAAGTTATGCTCCCTTTTTTTAAATGTATTGAACAATGACTGGCTTGGGGATTGGTCACTGACACTATTTCCCAACCGGAAAGAATGGGGGGGGGGGCGAAATATTTTGATGATTGGACAATCATTTTGTTTGGTGGTGTTTTTTTTTTTTTTTGGGGGGGGGGGGGGGGGGGGGGTGATTTCTGTCTCCTCTGACACAGAAACATTTAGAGGTAGATCCAGAATTTCTGCAAACTACGTGAGGCACACTATTAACGTTGTCGTTTCAAAGTTTAAGCCTGACCAAATTCTACCTGAAGCAGATAAGGGGTGGATGGGCACATCTTTAAAACTATTTTGATCAATAAATTTATGTATTAAGCATAAACGATCATAAACACTTAGCAGTTCACTCGATCCATCATATTTGAAAGTGAAACGGTAAACGCATTGATTTTACGGATCCAATAAAAAGTATATCGGGATATGACAAGATTGAGTTGTCTATCTTTTTCCATCAATTTGAAATTAGCTGAAAACCAGTTCAACAGAAAACCAGCCAATATTGTATATGGTCAAGGACGATTGAAGATGTCAAGAAAAAGGACGCACACAATGCATGTTGTAAACATAAAATAGGTAGAATATAGTGTTTTAAATTACCTTCATGGTCACAAATGGCTTGTACGTTGATGCTGTGGAACCCCTTTCTGTTAACAAATGCTGGTTCATCAATGCTAGGCCCAGTAATCCTTATGTGGGTCCCATCAATGCATCCAACCACGTTTGGAAAACCAGCCTTTTCATAAAACCCAGCCCTTATTACGTTCTTCCTCTGGTTATCTGGCCACGATATGAACTCGTCCTTCCTGGCAACTAATAACTCCGTCACACGGTCGATCACCCGAGACACAGTTGATTTGTCAAATCCCATTGTGTCCCCAACAACTTGCAAGTGAGATCCACTGCCATAAAACCTCAAGGCAATCATAACCTGTTGTTCCACTGAAAGGGCTGTCTCCTTATTTGTCCCACGCTCCAGATCCCCTCTCATTAAATCAGACAAGTACTCAATGGTCTCTCTGCCAAATCTATACCTCTGCCTTAGCTCCTCATCAGAAAATTCCCTTTCAAGAGGGTCAAAACCACGAAAATGTCGCTCTCTCCTTACAACAGGTGGTTGAAACAATACATTGACAGCCATCTTAGATTGAGGTTAATCAACTGATTCAAATTTAATCAACCTCAATGAGGTCGATTAAATATAACGACACTTTGACAATTTTAAACGACTCGTTAAATTTAACGACAAGTTGAACAACATGATAATGGACTGATTAAATTTAACGCAGTGATTAGTAAAATTTAACGACTCGTTTAATTTAACGACAAGTTGAACAACAGGGCCCTGAAGGTATATTCAATGCATAAATAAATAACAATCTTGATGGGTTTGACATTAAATTGTAATTCTCGACATTTTTCGACCTATATGTAAAATACAATATTTTTATTTTGTTCAATAGTTCTCATTTCTCAATGAAGTTGTCAGATAATCAGGACGCTTTTTTAAAATTAATTGTGTATAACATGGTTTTAATCTTTGACACTTCTATTAAAATAGTACATGTATAACATAATAGGCTTCAGATGATTTTAATATTTATTAAAATTTATCTCTCTCATATGTCTATTATTGCATAATAGTAAATGAAAACATCTTAGTATGCTGAATGATATCTTTTTTTTAGATTTTTGATCCAAAGGAGGGTGTATATATGAAGCATTAAATGATTTGTAAATTTGTCTAATTATCATTCTTAAGGTTTAAATGTCTATTTATATGCCCTTATTTTATTTCAGGTGATGCGCTTGAAGGTGTGGTAAACGTTCGATTACAAATGGATTGCAGCACACACATTGAGTTTGCATATTATGCAAGCCAACTTGCACAACCAGATGTGTGTGCCTACTGTGCAGAAGTTGGCGCTGACAGGGATGCAGATACACTAAAAACCCACAGGATTGTCCTTCCTGTCTGCCAAGATTGTAAAACCAAGAACAAAAAACCTATTCCCAAAAGAAATCCTTTGAAATAAACTTAGTATTTTTACACTTTCTGTTGAGTTTGAATGTTTTTTTTTAAATCTTCAATTAAGTTCAATTAAGATTAATATGCAAGAACTTTAACTGAATTTATATGATGTAAATATTTAAAAAAAAAAACTGTAATGAATGAGTTTCAAGAATAATATTTATTTTTTATTAGTTTTTCCCCCCAAGATTTTTCTTCCAACTTGATATCTGAGTTGAAAATCTCAGTATCTGACACATCCTTTATAAAACAAAACTCTTATTCATCTGTTTGACATCCGTGGCAATTGAGAGATTTGTTTCTCTTCTTTTTTTGTTCATGCATGGTAAGCCTGTAATTTCAAGAGCTGCTCTGTCAGATCTTTAGCTTTACATTTAGATCGTCCTAAAAGAAATACATCACACATGGGAACAAATTAGTATGCAGCTGGTTCAAAGATGCTGTATTAAACTGAAAAAGGTAATTGAATAAATGTCAGAGTATATAAAGAAACATATTTTGGAAAAAAAAATAAAATTATTTACCTACCCACACTTGTCTTGGTAGGGTCGGGATTGGGGAAACAAACAATTTATTAATTTAGGCCTAGGACCGAATTCGGGTGGGGGGGTTGGGGGGTTGAAGATCGAATTTGGGGCAATTTTTTTTTTTCTTTTCTGAAATAAGACTCCCTATGATTATTAAAGTACAAAGGAGTTTATATTAGCATACTAGGGATCATTCTAGACCAGGTGGAGGTCAAACATGGAAAAACCAAAAAATTCCCGACAGGACTGAATTCGGTCCTCTAACGAATTTTTATAAGACCAAATGTATCCCAGAGGTAGTAAAAGTATGCTAAAGTAATCCCTGACCAGTTTGATCCCTATACACATATCACTGGTCGAGTTGGGAAGGTATGGTGCGGACCGAATTCGGGCCAGTTGACTATATAGCGGGTTTTTTTCGGGGGGGGGGGGGTTAAACTATCCGTTATGACTATTTACGCATACTCGGAGGTCATAATAACGTACTTGGAGTAATCCTTAACTATTTGGGACCCACTGGTCCAAATATAAAAAAAAAGAACATAACCCGTATCATGCCAACAACTGGTTTTAGAATAAAAGTGTTTATTTCCAATGCAAAGACCCTTTGAGTGAATCAATATTAATACCAAAATTTGCAATTCTTAATGACTTGACAACAGTATCGTAACTATGTCCACTCCAAATAAGTCTGTTCAAAGGTTTGGTTAGCTTTTGAGGTGAATGCCGACATTTTTTGCTTTGTAATGAATATTACCATAAAATATTGGATGTGAAATTCCTGAACGTATAAGATGTCTGCATGTTGATTTATATTTATGAAAGATTTCCTTGTACCGATGATAAAATTTAGTTAATGTTTTGACTACTTTGTGATATCGAAAACCCTGGTGTAATAATTTTTCAGTAATGCAGAGATTTCTTTCGTTGAAATCAAATACGTTGTTACTTACACAAGCGAATCGAACAAGTTGAGATAAATAAACACCATAAGATGGCGACAATGGAACGTTACCATCTAAAAATGGATAATTAACAATAGGAAATGAAAAATCATCTCTTTTATCATAAAGTTTGGTATTAAGCTTCCCGTTAAAGATAAAGATATCAAGATCCAGGAAAGGGCAGAGTTCATTGTTAGTATTGGCTTTATTTAAAGTCAGTTCGGCAGGATAAATATCTTTAGTGTACATACTGAAGTCGTCATTATCGTCTTTTTTGTTTAAGATTATTTTGTTATTTTTATGCCGAAGCAGGTGATTTTATTTGTTTTATGTTTATACATTTTTATACTTATGTAATTTTTACTTTATGTTAGATTTTTATACCATTAAAGGTTTTTTCCCCTGTTTTCGAGCTGAGAGGGAGTGCCTGATAATGTCAATTCATAAGGGGTCGGAAAAAATAAATTGGTTGTTAATGTTTAGCACAAATTTACAATGAAATATGTCTACCATATTCGCATTGTACATTCCTCCCAAAATAGACGACGAGGACGTAATCAACATACAATTCATACAAATTTCAATTTGCTTAGTCTTTAGTTTTCTATATTGTGTCATCTGTACTATTATTTGGCTGTTTTTCCGGGATAAGGTCCGGGAAATTTCGACTGCCATCTAAAAATGAGAATAAATTGAATAAGGACAGAAATTTGACCTTGCAACAGGCCACCTACGGACCCCTCAAAAAGTTGTTTCAAGGTTTCTTAACGTGTAGAGAGCGTGGCACTCCTTCTACACGAGGCATCGGATTTAGCGTCCCCATTCTGACCGGATGTGGCTGCGTACTTGATACATCTCGCACAGACAAATGGACCACCCACTTTACAAGGGTTTTATGTCTGTGTGAGGAGGTAATGGGGTTCATTGAAAAATTGTCATTGACTTACCGATATCAGGCAGTGGATCATGAGGGTGGTGTTGGTGTTGGTGGTTATCACTAATGGTGGGAGTTATCTGGGTAATCTCTGCAATAAAGATATATCCATGTTATTATTGATATGTTGAGAAGTAATAAAAAAAAAATTACCAGAGACCCGTTGTCCTTTCCTTCCATAGACTCTTCGCATGAATCCATTACACTACTGAAATGTGTTGGTCTGGCGTTGAGAGAAGAATGAGTAAACATGTGATCGGTTACAGATAATAAAGTGGCAACAGCAATGGTAGCGGCTTGCCATCAGAGTCACGCGTCAGGGTACTGTCTGATTGATTGATTGTTGGTTGCTTAACGTCTAGTGGCAAATATTTCATGCATATTCAGGTTCTCGTCCTGAACATGCATGAAATATTTGCCACTGGACGTTAAGCAACCAAAAATCAATCCACCATCAACACTCATCATCTTATCAATGGTTTATCTGCTGGACTGATATGAGCAACCCGTACATTCACTTTAACAGATGTACAGTCTCATTGAAATAGTATATGTATCTTCTAGGCAGAAAAGCCATATATTTGAAGTATTTAATTTTATTTGATGTGATCACTTTGACTTCCATTTTGTAAATGATCCGTCAACTTCCGGTTATCGATGTTTTCATGAAAGCCAACTTTCTATATAATTAATATCTGAAACCAGCACTAGTATTTCTCTCTTTTTTATCAAAGATAATTGAGACTGTCTATGACAAGGTTGATCTAGCTGTTCATCTCATCCTTTGCGTGCCGCCTCTTATCTTTTCTATCAGGCCATCAGCAGCATTCATATTTCACGAGCGGTTGCCGGCCACACATCTGTTTCCACCAGCGGTACTTATATTTCGAGGCGTCCCTTGTGTCAGGACCCAAGCACGGACTTCTATCTTTTTACGAGCCGTCACCGGCCATACGTATATCTGCCTTAACCCCAAAGGGTGACTGGGGAATAGACATAGAGTCACTACAGGTCTTCCGATCGGCTGTAAAACCCTTGCCAAAGTGGGGCGTCCGTTTGTCTGTGCGGGATGTATAAAGTACGCAGTCACGTCCGGTCAGAATTGGGACGTTAAATCCGATGCCTCGTGTAGAGGGAGTGCTATGCTCTCTGCACGTTAAGAACCCTTGCAACAACTTTTTGAAGGGTCCGAAGGTGGCCTGTTGCAAATTTTTGTTCCTATTCAATTTACCCTCATTTTCAGGTGGCAGTCGAAATTTCCCGAACCTTATCCCGGACGTCCTCAATTACAAGACCTAACTATTGTATGTATTGGTAATTTGTTCTCGTCCTGAACATGCATGAAATATTTCCCACTGAACGTTAAGCAACCAACAATCAATCCACCATCAACACTCATCATCTTGTCAATGGTTTATCTGCTGGACTGATATGAGCAACCCGTACATTCACTCTAACAAGTGTAAAGTCTCATTGAAATAGTATATGTATCTTCTACGCAGGTAGGTTAATGACATAGTTAGCGCCAAATCGTACAAAAATGTTCAAGCATGAGTTATTTCCCTTTTTTCTATTACGTAATGGCTGGCGTTCGTCTCTCTCGGTGAAAAAAATATCTGTACACGATTCCCCTCAAACGCATTCGTGTTACATTGTGGCTAATAAGAGGCCAAATATTATTATATTGACGTGCATGACAGAAATAAACTTCATTTGTGTTCTAAAACCCTATAGTTATCAAATATTCTTCGATCAGTCACGGAAGTTAGCTCCGCCCTCTTTTACCATATTTGGAAAATCGGTGTAATTTAGAAGCTTGCATCCTGAACAAATTGTGCGAAGCACCTGTTCGCAGAAAATTCAGTATTTGGCGAAGAAGTGCTCTTGTATGCATTATT